GCTCAGCTCGCGTCCGGCAGAGGAGAGCGGGGCAGTGTGTGTAAGCACCATCATCCGCAGACACGTGTCCGTGGTCAATGGTCTGGGAGAAAGGACAGCGCGTGACCCTGTCAGAAATGAAGAGACCTGGGGCCTGAGCCATAGGGCAGTGGGGAGGGCTTTTGCCTTACACACGGCTGACCCGAGTTTGATCCCCAGCATCCCATATGGTCCCCAAGCACCGCCGAGAGTGATCCTTGAGCAAAGAGCCAAGGGTTAACCTAGAGCATTGCCAGGTGTGGCCACCAAACAAAAAAAATCAAATCAAAATGAATGAAGGGACTGGGACCGAGAGCTGTTGAGTGGATGCCTGCCTCCCTTCTGGTTCAGTTGCACGGTCACTTTGAGATGGTAAGTTGTGGGGTGCAGAGACGCAGCTTTGGGGCTAACTTCTCTAAGGTCACCCAGTGAGGGAGGGGCCTGGACGAGGCTCATTCCACATCTGTGCAGGCTCAGCTCTCCTGATTTTCTCCTGCCAGGATGTGCCTGTTCTTTTGAAGAGAAAGTCCAAAGTCCCTCTTGAAAGATTGTGCTCCCCTCGGACGCCCCTTTCCTGACTGAAGCCATGCGAACCAGCACGGCTCTGTAGCCTCCTGGTCACTTCTGGACCTTTTCCAGCTCCCTGATGAATCGGGGGCAGCCACTCGTCCCGTCCTGATGGCACTAGCCAGCGGCCATCCCTGACGCTTCCCAGGCCTCTCCAGCTGTGGTGAAAGCGGGTGATGAGGCAGCAGCCCAGGCTGCAGGAGGGCCTGGGGAGGACTCCCAGAGAGACCCGACACGTTCCATGGTCATCAAAGCTTGATGGGACCGGGCGCCTGCAGTGTCTCCCATGCTCCAGTACAGCCTGTGGAACCTGGGTGCACTGCACACTTTCCCAGGCCACAGAGCAGTCCTATGCAGAATCTGCTCCTCACACCCACCCTGCCTGGGTGGGTGTGGGGGAAAGCAGCACAAATTAGAGGCTTGAGACTTAGACCTGGGTCGACCCTGTGAGATCTTTGAACTTAGGGCCTCGTACATGTAAGGCGGGTCTACCACTGAGCTCCATCCCTGTTTGTCTTTTATGAGATGAGATTTTTTAAAAAAAATTACTATTGGGGCTGGAGTGATAGTACAGCAGGTAGGGCGTTTGCCTTGCATGCGACCAACCCGGGTTCAATTCCCAACATCCCATATGGTCCCCTGAGCACCACCAGGAGTAATTCCTGAGTGCAGAACCAGGAGTAACCCCAGACCATCGCCGGGTGTGACCCAAAAAGCAAAAAAAAAAAATTATCTGGGGGTTGGTGGTACTTGGGCACACCTATTGGTGCTCAGGGCTTCCTCATGGCTCTGCACCTGGGGCTCACTCCTCTGTGGTGCTGAGGATCAAACCTGGATTGGCCGTGTGAGGGACAAGCACCCCGCCTGCTGTGCTGTTGTTCCAGCCCTACAGATGAGATTTAGAGGTTACTCACGGGGCGGCCAGCAGACGAGCCAGAACGAGGGAGACTCCGTTTTCCTAAAGAGAAAGACTCGGGGAGGAGAGAGAAGGGAGCATTAATAATCTCTCTAAGGCTCTGGCCACGGGCGGGATCCTGTGAATCAGCTTTCTAGGAAGAGGTCGCTTAGAAACACGCCTCCCTCCCTGTGGGGCCTGAGCAGCGGGAGGACCCGCCTGCTCCGGATTTTTGGGTTCAGGTGAGTGTCAACTGGAACAGCACTCGGAGGTTCCCTGCTGGCCTGGCCGCCCTTTCCTGCTGTCACTGGCTGCTTGTACCGAGTTGGAAGTGGATGCCTCCTTCAGCCACACCAGCCTTGCAGTCTGCAGGGCCGCTGTTTCCAGAGGGGCTTCTTGGCCTCACCTTCCTGTGCGCTCCTGCCAGTTCCACCTTGGGGGCCCGGGGGAGTCATCGCTGGGCTTGGCTTCTCCTTGGTGCCATTTGCTTCCCCCAGTTGGGAGAGTTCTGTGTCTGTGTCTGTGGGGGAGGGTGGCTGCTGGTGGAGCTTGGGGCTGGCCGGGTGGCTGTTCCCATGCAGGATCAGGAGGGCAGGGCCATGTCTGAATTTCCCTGGGCTTTGGCCGCTGTATAGCCTTGAATCCTTGGGTCCCACCCAAGGGCTTTTTCCCCGCCTCACCTGTTGGATTGGCCAGGACCGCACCAGCATGACTTGGCCCTTGTTCCCTTACAGGTGGCCTGGGAGGGCGCAGGCTGGGTGCCGAATATGACTTCTTGTTTATGGCTGAGTATATGGCTTCTTGTTCCTGGCTTCCTCTTCCTGACTGGCCCCAGGCTTGGGAACAGTGGCCGGGGCACCTGGCCAGAATAGGCCCTGTCAGGTACTGTCAGCTCTTCAGCAAGCCCCCCTGGCCCTCCTCCTCACCTAGAGAAGGTCCTGGGTTATTGGTGTTGTTCTTGGCGGACCACCGGGGCCCTCGGCAAACAGGGAGGCGAGTGTGCAGCCGGCCCGGGCCTGTTTGTGTTGGCCTGGGCGGGCGGGGGATTAGCTCAGCTGGGCTGCTAATTGCCTTCGAAGTGCTGGGCCTGGATGCTGACAAGGGCTGAGGCTCTAGGCCCCTCCTCCCCGGCCGGCACTATGCCAGGCTTGGGGGTCTGGCCCAGAAGGGCCCCTGCTCTCCCTGTCAGCGCCTGCTTTGCCGAGGCCCTGGAGAGGCGGGCAGGGGGTCACCAGGGCTGGCGGCTCAGGAAGGAGTGGGGGGAGATGCTATGAAGTCATCGCCTGGCCGGGCCACTCTCCACCCCTCCCCCACGTCACAGAGTGCCCCCCCCCCCCCCCCCCCCCACTCCTGGAGTCAGCGCCTTTTCCTGAACTTCAGCACTTTCTCCTTACTGGGAGTCTGGGCGCTTTCAGGCCCTTCCTGTCAGCCTGTCCTTCTGTCCCTGGGTTTGTCCTTCCTCTCCCTCACTGCCTTTCCTAGGCTCTCCCAGGTACCCAGCCTCTGTACTTCCTTTTACCCGCCGGAGTGCTGGACTTCTTGGCTCACGATGCACTCGAAACCCTGCCCTTGGTCTACCTGGACCTGCCAGCTGTCAGGATGGAGCTGAGTGCAGCCTGCTTCATCACCCCAGTCCCGAGACCCTCAGGCCTGAGCCTGGCCCTGGCCGGAGTCCAGACAGGACCCGCCTGGGTACCCAGAGCCCCTCTGCCCCCAGGTGCAGCTCCCCACGTCCCACCTGCTCCTGACTGTAGCCGGCCTCCTGCTTCTCTGCAGACTCACTCTCTTCTGTCAGGGCCTCGGGTGAGTGTCTCCTGCTGGATCTGCCCTCAGTTCTGCCTGCTCTGCCCACAATGGGGCCAAGGCACCCGCTCTCAGCCCCTAAGCATCCCATATCCTCTGTTTCCATCTCATCTCATCTCATCTCATCTCATCTCAACTTCTGGCCCCTCAGTTTTAGAGTCACACTCTCTTTCATCCCTGAAAGGGGAAAAACCATGCACTATCATCTGTCAAGCTTTATATTTGTCATCTTACCTAACAGCTCCAAGAAGTAAGTTTGATTTTTTTTTTTTTTTGGTGGGGGGGAGCATGCAGGGGAGGTTTGGGTCACACCCAACAGTACTCAGGACTTAACTCCTGACTCTGCACTCAGGGATCACACGTGGCTTGGGGGACCATATGTGATGCCAGGGATTGAACCCCAGTTGGATTCATGCAAAGCAGGCACCTCACCCACTGTACTGTCACTTCGGCCCAGTAGGTTTGATTCTAACTGAGTAATTTAGTCTCATCTATTGTTTAGTCCCATTTGAAGGTGGTGTAGGGACGAGGTGGGGCTGGGGTATGGTGACCACCCCATGTTACAGATAAAGAAAACGGGTCCCAGAGAGGGATAATGAGTCTTCCGCGATACTATATAGTAAAGAAGAGTCGGAGCTGTGATTCCAACTCACTTCTGCCTGACCCAAAGCCCAGGGCTTTTTCCAGATCTAGAAACGGGTTGGACATAGACACCTTAACGTGTCTGCTACCATCATGGGTTCTTTCTCTCACCTTGCTTCTCTCTGCCTTTGACCCCGGCTGACACTGCAGTGTCCTTTTCTCTCCAGTTTACTCTACCTTGTCCCCTGTGTGTTTTTCTCTTCCCAGTATCTGTGGGTACTCCTGCTTTGCTGTAAGCCCTTTCTCATGTCCCTTGACCCCAGGAAATGTAAAGCTTATGGCAGCCTGGGACGGATGGCTGTGTGAGGGGACAGGGGTGGTGTGAGGGTAAGGGTTGAGGTCTTCATTCCCCTGGACCAAGGTTCCTGAACATCGACCCTGTGTCTCCCCATCAGCATGGCTTTCTTTACATACCTCCTCCCCACCAGCAGGACTCCTCAGGACTGGGATTTAGTCCTGGCCGTAACTTCCAGCATGAACTGTCTGGATCCCCGCATCCTAGCTGGGATTTGGTTCTTTTCCATCGTTCCCCTTTCTCCTGCATTGCCACATGCTTCTCCAGAATGTCCTCCCTTGCCATAGACATCTTTAGAAAGGTTTTGTTCAGTTCATTAGGTGAAAGCTGGGCTAGATGCCTGTTACGGGCCAGCAGAGGGTGTGTGTGTGTGTGTGTGTGTGTGTGTGTGTGTGTGTGTGTGTGTAGAGAGAGAGCGAGAGATACAAACGCAACTAGTTATTGATATTTTGATCAGCCCATTAGGTTGGGTGAGATGCATTGTTGGTGTATGTGTGTGTGTAGATAAATACATACTCCTCGACCAGTTATTCATATTTTGATCAGCCCATTAGGTGAAGGCTGGGTGAGGTGCATTGTGTGTGTGTGTGTGTGTGTGTGTGTGTGTGTGTGTGTGTGTGTGTGACTTACCTAATGCTTTTCAACCAGTTAAGAGGGCACAGGCAAGGAGAGCCCCATCTCTAAAATTTACTACTATTTATCTGCTTTTCCCAGGTCCTTCCCCAAGTCTCTCTTCTTCCTCTTCTGGGGGAAAAAAATAAATTGCTGCCACAATTGCAAGATAAAGAAATAATCATTTTATCGTGCATCAGACTATTCGGGGGGGATGGGGGATGTCACAATGGCGAGGACCTGGTATAAAACTGGAGGGTGGGATGGGGATAGCAGGGGTGTAGCAGCATCCAGAACTGGGACTTCTCTTCCCAGTAGTTCGCCTTGGCCTGGGCGAGGCTCTGGAGAGGGCTTTCCGCGCAACGCAGACCCGCCTGCCGTTCCAGAGTGGGGGCGCTGCGTCGGGCCCGGGCCAGCTCCTTCTCTTTTTCTTTTGGGACAGTTTGAGCTGGTTGTCCAAGTAGCTCCGTTCTCCTGCAATTGTGGATTCCTTTGGCTTCAGGGGAGCGGTTAGGGTGGGGGCAGAGGTTGCTCGAGTCCAGTTTGTGCTCAGGTCGCAGCCTTCAGACCCCCGGAGGAGCCCCCTAGGAGGGCAGAAAGGTGAAGCTTCTGGAAGGGTACAGGCTGTCCCACTTGGTGGGCCTGTTCCCGTCAGGGCCCGGACACGGTGGAGGGGACAGTGGCGTAGCGCTGTCTCTGCTTCCTGTGTCTGGGTCAGGCTATGGCCAGCGAGGGAGAGTATTTTCCCTGGCAGGGAGCAGACAGCTCGCCAGACTCGCCTGAGGAGCAGTGGGCCCAGCTGGGCAGCTGTGGGGACACTCGGTCAGCTCAGCTTTCATCCACATCAGAGCCAGCCTGCCCGAAGATTATCCCACATTCAGATCCGTCCCCAGCATCTTGCAGACTTTGGCCTCCTCCTTGGATGGACACCGAGCAGAGAGCTTGGCCCGAGCCCAGTGTGCTGACCCGCTCCCTGGGGGAGTCGGCAAGCAGGAGGCACCACCCCCGGACAGACACCGAGCCCCGAGCCAAGAGCCTGGGGTGTGAGACGTTCCGGAGGGGATCCCAAACCTCAAACCTAGAACCCCAATGTGGGGGAAGCGTGGAGGGCGGCAGACGGCCAGTTCCCTTGGTGGCTGGGAGTCCATCTGGGAACAGTTGGGTCAGGCCACACCAGCTCTAGCTGTGCCCAGAGCTCTTGGCTCTGGGCTCTTGACAGCTCCGGCTGCTCCACAGGGCCAGGCTGGGGTTGCAGGGGCCACCTCGGGGTGGGGACAGGGCTCCTCTTCCTTAGGGTGGCACTGGGGACGGGGGGGGGGGGCCTCAGTTGCTGAGAGCGCCCCTTCAGCCCCACCCCGTCAGCTCTGCCACTGTCTGGACCTTCAGGAAGGACCCAGGCTTCAGCTCAGCCTATGGGTCGCAGCACCTGCTCTCTCTCTCTCTCTCTCTCTCTCTCTCTCTCTCTCCCCCCCCCCCACCCCCCTGCACAGTCCAGACTGGGCCCCTCCCCATGGCTCAGACCTGGGGACCTGTGGGTAGGGAGTCCTGGGGGAGCCTCTGCCTTGTGCATGTCGGGCCCTGCCCAGCGCTGCCCTCTGCCATGACAGGCAGCAGCATTCCACCTCCCAAGGACGCAGCGGTCAGGCGAGATAGCCCGGGGCTGGGCTGGGGACACAGTCGTTGGATACGTGAAGGGAACGATGGCGGGGGGAGAGAGCGCTCTTGCACGTGGCCCTTTTGCCCGTGCGTGTCTGATGAGTGTGTTCGTGTGTGGGCTGTGCTTTCCTGTCTTGGGGTCACGGAGGGGGTGACTCCCTGCAGAACTCTGCTGAGAGTTCTGCTCTGGAAAGGGACCCTCAGCTCCTGCAGGAAGGGCTGAAGCGCTGAGGGGGGCAGCAGAGGGGGCTGCGCTCTGGGTGGGACTCGAACTTCCTCTTGCCCTGTGCTCACCTGCTTTTCCTGCTCCAAGAGGGACCTCCAGCCGCTCTGGATGACTGGCTTTTACCCTTTGCCCTTGACCTTTCCCAGGGCCTTGAGAGACAAGGTGACCTGGCCGAAGCTGCTAGGGTCTGTGTGTACGCATGGTGTGCCACATCCATCAGGTTGGCACCTCGTCCCCCTGCCCTGCCACCGGGCCCCCACTTCCCCGCCATGGCTGGGTTGGTCGGCAAGTGGCCGGAACACTCCTCGTTACCCACCTTCAGTGTGCAGGTAGAAAGACGGACACGTGACAGCAGAGCGGTCAGCAGCGGCCACATGTGGACAGCTGGAAGCACAAGCAACGTCCTTTTGGTCAGTGGCAGCCACCGAGGTCCAGGCTTCAGGGAGACCCCGGCAGATGCCCTGTCGGGCCCGGGGAGCAGGGGGGTTACGTGTCTCCTGCCTGGTTTCGGCAATAAATAAAAGAGGAGGACCCAAAAACCAAACCAAAACAAAAAATACAACCAGTATCTTTGGGGGCGGGTGGCGAGGGGAACTGTTTGAACGGCCGGCTGTCCCCAGCCCGTGGTGGCGGCGCCGGGCGCAGGGCGGCAGTCACCGGCACGTGTGCAGCTCCACGAGCCGCTGGCACTGGCGGCACTTGACGAAGCAGCACCAGTGGAACTTGCAGCTGCAGCGCTCGGCCAGCTCCACCTGGGCCGTGTGGAAGCCGCGGCCGCAGCACAGCAGCTCGCAGCCGTCGATGGCCTTGGACGTCTTGTTGCACACGCGGCCCCGCGTGCCCAGCACGCCACTGCGCATGTCCTGCTCGCAGAAGTCCGGGCTGGGCTCCAGGTACACCAGGTCCTCGTCCGTGTGCGGCTTGAACTGCGCGTTGCGTGGCACCAGCGCCCTGGAGGAGCCCACCCGGCGTGGCTCCACCTCGGTGGCGCCGTCAAACTTCTCCTTCAGTGCGTGGCCCACCTGGCGGAAGGGTGGCACGGCGCGCCAGCACGTCTTCACCTCGCAGGAGCCCGACACGCCGTGGCACTTGCACTCCACCCGCATGTGTGTCAGGATGGCCTGCGGGGGTGGAAAGGGGAGAGCTGGCTGCGGGCTGTGCTGCATGGCCACATTGGACCCTAACCCCGGGGGTGCTCAGAGCTGGTGGCTGAGGGGCCGCTTGGGTCTGCACTTTTTTTTTTTTTTTGGAGGGTCACACCGGCAATGCTTAAGGGCTTATTCCTGGCTTTGCATTCAGGAATTACTCTTAGTGGTGCTCAGGGAACCAGATGGGATACTGCGGATTGAACCTGGGTCGGCCGCGTGCAAGGCAAATGCCCTACCCGCTGTACTATCACTCCAGCCCCAAGACTTAATTTTTTTTTGGGGGGGGTCACATCCGGCATTGCAGAGGGGTTACTCCTGGCTTGCGTACTCCGGAATTACTCCTGGCGGTGCTCGGAGGACCATGTGGGATGCTGGGAATTGAACCCGGGTCGGCTGTGGAAGGCAAACGCCCTGCCCGCTGTGCTTTGGCTCTAGCCCTGGGTCTGCACTCTCGAGTGCGGGGCGCAGCTCAGGATGTTCGTGGTAACCCCAGCAGGGTTCACCGCCCTGCCGCCTGTTAGGTGTGTGACCGAGAGCCTGACCCCCCATCTTGGTCTCTCTCCGGGTGTTGGTGCGGCATGTGCTGTGTGAGCACGGGGGGCGGGTGCTCCCACTCTTCTGTAACTCTGCTCTCCTATGTCGCATGCTGCCAGCCCGGACCCCTTGGGCAGCAGAGGCGCTGCTTGGAGCTTGACCACAGACATGGATTTGGAACTGTGTGTGGGTGGGGAAGCATCTGCCCCCGCTGTGGGAGTGGCAGCAGGGAAGGGTGGGATGGGGAGGGGGCACGCTACCTTCCTGCCCGCCTCGTTGTTGTGGAGGTTCATGAGGGCGCGGCTGGATGAGGCCCCCTTGCTCCTCTCCCGCACGTCCACGAACGACTGGGAGAACGCCACACCGTAGGCGATGTTGTCCGAGCAGCCGGACCACTGGAAGCCTGGACGGGGTGGGTGGGCACAGGGGGCCGCGGGTGAGCGAGGGCCCGGGGCAGGCCCCCAGCACCCCAGCATGTGCCTCGGCTCCTGCGCTTACCCTGGGGGCTGACCCCGTGGACCGTCCGGTCGCAGCCACACTTCTCCAGCTCCCCGCTGCTGCAGGCGCGTGTCACGGCGAAGGCCACACCTGCCGAAGAGATGGCGTACACGAAGGCCGCCTCCCGGGTCCCTGTGGGGGCAGACGGAGGTAGGCTTGGGTCCTGGTCCCTGACTCTCCTCCGCAGAGGCAGGAGGGACCCACGTGGACACCCCCGGCCTCGTGCCCACAGCCTTCTCGGGGCGGAGCATCTCCTCAGCCCCACAAAGTCCGAGTCTTCATCACCCCCCATTGGACAGAGGTGAGTGACCACGTGGAGGTCCCTTGGGGCTTGGCTGAGTCAGCAAGCTGACCACTGAGGGGTACTGCTCTCATCCTCCCAAGACCAGGGAGGTCATTTTACGGGAGACAAGGGGGGTGGTCTTGGTCCCCCTGCAGAGCCGTTATCAAAGCCGAGCTCTTCTGGGGTCTGTGCCCCAGCGGCCCACCTGCTCCCAGGGGTCCCGCCCAGCCCTTCCTGTTGAGGGGCCCTGGAGGATACTGCTCTATCTCCCTTTTAAGAGTGAAGTCAGGGGGGGCTGGAGAGAGTAAAACGGGGAAGGTGCTTGTCTTGCATGCAGCTGACCTACATCTCATCCCTGGCATCCCATATGGTCCCCTGAGCACAGAGTCAGGAGTAAGCCCTGCACACAGTTGGGTATGGCTTCAAGCCTCCCATCTTCTACAAGAGTAAAACCAGAGAACCCCCTACTGCTCACCACCCCTGGTGTGGATTGGGAGTGCCTGTCACCCCCCTGTAGTCCAGGGGTGTCTACTGCACATAAGCCACCTTGGCACTATGCCAGGCCACAGATGGCCATGTGGAGAGCCAGGGAGGGGAAGGGACTTGGTCCCAGTCACCCAGTCAGAAAGTTCCAGAAGCAGGACTCAAAAAACGGGTGTGTCTGCATCCCCTTTCCCAGACCTATCCACTCCCAGGCTCCCCAGGGGTGCTATTCTGGTGTGGCCTCTTCCCCTTCTTCAATGGGTGTTTTTATTCTCGTAGGAACTGTGCCTTGGGGTGTCACTGCTATGGGACCCCCTGGGTATGTGTGTGTGCATGTGTGTGTGTGCGTTTGTGCACATGTGTGTACATGATGCATGTGTGCATGTGTGTGCATGCATGTGTGTGCATGTGTGCATGGATGCATGTACATATTTGCACGTACACATGTACATGCATGTGTATGTACATGTGTGCATGTGTGTATGTGTTTGTGTGTGCGTGTGTGCATGTGTTCATGTGCATGCGTGTGTATGTGTGTGTGCATGTGTTGGCATGTGCACACATGGAGGGCTGAGTGTAGGACCAGCAGGGCCTGCTCCTCACCCAACCCTGTGAGGGTCTCTGTGTGCTCGTGACTGTTCTTCTGTGTCTGGCTAGAGCGCCCGTGTCCGCAGGAGTGGAGGGGCCGGTTTTGGCCCCACGGTTGGCAATTACCTCTGCGACACCCAGGCCAGAGCTCTGCCCCCAGGAGCATTGGCTGTGGTCAGAGGGAGACAATCACCTCCTCTGTGCGCGTGTCTGTCTGTGGACAGGCAGCAGGAGCTGAGGGCTGGGCTGGGGGCAGCGCCGTCCCCAAAGGCTTAGGACGCCCTGTTCTCAGCTGGCCCTTGAGCCGGGGCTCCTGCCCACCACCCACTCTCCTCGGCCGGCTCTGCCCGGGCCTGGCTATTTGGGGCCGGCCTCAAGGGGCCTGGCTGGAGCCACGGGGCCTCGGCAGTCTGGGAGGGAATCTTCTCCAAGTTAATCGAGGTTAATAGCAGGATCGTGTTGGTTGGTTTTGTGCTGTGGCCGCCCAGAGAGAGACGACTTCAGTTTCTGGTATTTCTGGTATTTCCAGGCCTGAACCAGCACAAATCTTTGCCCCAAAGACCCAGGGGGGAGGGACAGCAAGGGATGGGGCAGATGGGGCGGGTGGGGTGGCCCAGACCCCGGCCTGGCACGCCGCTTTCTCCCTGCCCCTCTGGGTACCCAGGTGGTCCCCAGGCGTCTCCCCCCACCCCCTTCGCAGCTCCTGGGGCACAAAGCTTCCTGTGGTGTTGCTCAGGGAGAGAACTCGCCTCATTCTCCAAACCCACACCAGGGCCTGCTCTCCGGTCCCTCCTTCTGGAACAGGGATGCTGGTTTCTCAGCCCGAGGTGGGTGTGGAGACCCCAGAGGAAGGTCACAGGGGCCTGAATGTAGATATGAGGTGGTTCCAGGCACTGGATCATTCACAGGCTCACCACAGCGACCCTTTCACGCCTCATTTTACAGATGAGGAAACTGAGGCACTGACTGGGGAAGCACCTTGCCTGACAGTCCCCAGCCACGGAGTGGTAGGGTCCGAATTGGGACTCGGCAGGCTAGTTCCCAGCCATTCAGCCTGGGCACGATCTTGCCTCAAAGGCCCCACAGCCCCCAGGAATATGCACACAGTCACTCTCTTCCGTAGAACAGCCCTAAATCGCAGGAACCCTACCTAGGTCTGGCCCATTTTCTTTTCTTTTTTTTTTTTTGGGGGGGGGGTGGGTTTGGAACTACAACTGGCAGTGCTCGGCCTCCTCTGACTCTGTGCTCAAGCGTGACCCCTAGCAACACTTTGGGGACCATCTGTGGTGCCAGGGTCAAATCAGGATGGCAGTTGCTGCAGCTGATGGAAGACAAGTGTCTGTCTTCTGTGCCGTCCCTCTCTCCCCTGCCCAGGGTGGTCAGGAGCCCCCACAGGACACCATGGCCAAGTCATCTTGCCTCTGGAGTCAGTGGCAGCACCCTTCTAGAAGTTTCTGTTCTCCTCCTTGGCTCCTGTGTGGTGACCTCCCCAGATCCCGCCCATGCTGGGGGCTCCGACTGGAGTCTTGCTGGCTAGAGGGCACTGGGCTGCGAGGCTGAGGCAGCAAGGACTAGGGTATGCCCCGTGGAGTAGAGGGGCTCCCTGGCCATGTGGGAGATGACCGCCCTGCTCAGTGGCCTTGCCTATCCCAGTGACAGGGGAGCTCGTCCTGCCTTTTTCTTCCTGAGACAAGCCGAGGTGAGGCGGAGTTCTCGAAGGTGCTGGCAGCGGGCCGGCACCCTTCTCCATAAAGTCATTTGCTCCGACCCACTGCCAGTTTTCACCTCCCCGTGGCACTTCCGCCCCCCCCCCCTCCCCCCCCCCCCCGCCACCCGGTCTGCCTCAGCCGTGTTTCCTGAGGTCAGAAGGCCCGGGAGGCAGAACTATCTGTCTGCAGAACCCGTGATGTGCGACTTTCTGAGGGCCGCCTCGTGCCGGGGCCCTCCACAGGCTGAGTCCAGCTGTGACACCCAGAGCAACCGGCTGGACAGCCCTGCCTCCTGGGGGAAAGACCCATGGCTGGTGTGGGGCCATGCAGGAATGGACATAGGGGCCCAATGGAGTCCTCTGGCCACGCCCTCCCCTCCTGCGTCTCTCCCGCAGGGCGGAGGGGAAGCAGCCCTCTGAGCCACAGCACAGTTGGAGGAGAAGCTGGTGAAGCTGGGCCAGGCCTCAGGGCAGCAGGGGGGGTGGTGCTGGCACCGGGTCACTGGGCACGTCCTGGCTGGCCGCAGCGGGCCCTGGCGGTGGGGCAGCGTCGGCTCTGGCCCCTGAAGCTCTCCCCAGCCTGTCCCCTGCTGGCCTTTGCTCTCTTTTCTCTGCAAAAGCTCATCTTGAAACCACCTCCTGAAGTATCTGTGGATTTAAGAGGCTTGATAACAAGGGCAAGAGAAAGACTTGGCCGCTGATCCAGGCCACGGCAAGGCTTTCGATGGCACGGGCTTCCTCTCTGCACCTCCTTGCCCGACCCCAGTGGGAAAATGGCATTGCCCGCCTCTGCTCTCCCTGCTCCTCACAGACCCAAACACATGCTTGGGCCTTCTCTCCATCTCCAAGAGCCTTTGCTCTGCTGCTGCTCCTAGTTTGCCTCTGACCCACCAGCACCCAGGGGGGCTGCACATCGCAGACCTCACAGCTGCATGCCCGGGGGGGAGGGGGCCCTGGGGAAGGAAGTAGGCACTCGCGGGTCAGACCTGAGCATAGATGGGGGGAGGGGTCTCCATTCTCTTATCCACAGACGAGGGCTGGTAACAGGGGTTTTGAAAATCCAAATGGGGTGAACAACAGAAAGTGCTTCGCCTGTTCCCGGCACGTGCAAGGCGCTCGAGACACAGCATCTTTGCTGAGTGTGTGGTCGGGGTGGAGTGCAGCCACTTGATTTGCTGGGGGTAAGTCTGTCGGGCCTATTCTGGGGCCACTGATATACCAGCAGGCCAACAGCTTCCTCTGGGCAGGTGCATCCTTGCTTGCTCCTCTCCAGCTATGGTCACTGCTGTGAGCCCCCATACAGCACACTGAGAAATGGGGGTCGGAGGGGACTGTCCTCCAGGATCTCCCGTTGGTCTCCTGACACTTCTCTGTTGGCACCAGGAAGTCACCCCGAAGGGAAGCATGTTCCCACCCCTACGGGGGTAATGGGATCTCCACATTAAGAAGACAGGCCTCACCAAGGCACGGTCCAGCCTAACAGTCTCTGCATATTCAGTCCAGCCCAAGGTGACCAGCCAGCACGGTGTCCGAGATAAAGCCAGACTCGTGGTTTGCGGACAGACGAACTTAGGCTTGATTCTTCACTGTGCCATGGTCAGTGGACCCCAGTGCCCTCTAGCAGGGCAGGCAGAGCCTGGGGGTGAGGGGTGGCTCTGAACAGAGAGTGCCCCTCATAGGCCAGGGGCATGATGCCAGTCAGAGATGTGGTAACGGCGTTTGCAGATGAGGCCGGGGCCCAGGACCTGCTCGGCCCTTCCCAGTCTGTGTCTTTAGCACGATCTGCTCACAAGCCCTTCAGGCCTTCTCTGGCCTCTACTTCCTCCCCGAACCAAACCCTCCTTATCCTTCCAGCAGCTCTTTCTGGAGCACCAGGTCTGGGTGGTGATCGGAGCACAGAGGTGGCCCCACGTCTCAGCTGAATGTCCACGTCCCCAAGGATGCCCCCGGCTCCCAGGCCTGGCTGCCCTGATGCCAGTGCTACCAGATTTCTGGTGGATCTTTCAGCCAAAAGAAGCCCACGGCTTGGCCCTAACTTGGTGACCATTGCCTGACCATTTGTCTGGAGTCCAGGAGAAAGGGGTTGTCCTGGGCAGAAGGCGTGGAGGCCGCAGCAAGGCTGGTGGTGAGGAGGCTGCCCCTCCTCCCGGGGGAGCGGTCAGTGCTTCAGCAACGCCTGTCTGTACCTTGACGGCACCACTGGCAGGTCTGTCTGGGATGGTTCCCACTCAGCAGGGTGAGGCGCTGAGGCCCGAGAGGACGTGGGCCTCGCCATGGGGTCTTGGTTGCATGCATGGCCCCCTGGCCTGTTCTCAGCTCTCACTGGGGGCCGAGGCAGCTCCCTCCACTGTGGGAGGTGAGGGGCTGCATGAGCAACTCTCCTAGAGGGTCTGGGGCTCCAGGCACAGGGAGCTGCCCGCTCTGGCCACTTCCACCTTTGAGGCCGTGTCACTAACCAGGCTGCTGACAGGTGGGACCTGTCCACCCCTGCGTTGTGGATCGCCGTGAGCTCCGAGAGGCCGGCCCAGGCCAGCGGCTGCTGATGCCTGGGGCCAGTCCTGGGGGAAGCCATGTAGCACGTCACTAAACCCTACGACAACCCCATGGGGCACACACGTGTTCCCCTGTCACTGACCCATGAGGACCCCATGGCCCAAGGACTGATGTGTCCCACCTAAGGTCACGCTGGCCCTCGGCTACCCTCTGCCCAACTCAGCCTGCCCGGAACCTGCTAGCTCGGGACAGACAAGCCTGTCCTGCTCAGGAGAGACCAAGGAAAACCTTTCCAAGAAGAATTTTACTAGGGGAGAAAGTGAAAGGACACGGGAGCGAGGCTCTGGGTGAAGGGGAAGGGCTGGCCCCTGCCACATGGCTGATAACCTGGGGCGGGCAGCACACTGGACCCAGCTCCCAGGACACTAGATGCTTGACCAGGAATCCAGACCATACCTGGCTCAGGTTCCTGCAAGCTGCAGAGCATCTCAGAGTCTGAGCGTGTTTTTTTTCTTTCTTTTTTCTTCTCCCTTTTCCTTTTGCTTTTCAGCCACACCCAGCAATGTTCAGGCTTACCAGGACTTACTCCTGGCTCTGCACTCAGGAGTCACTCCTGGCAGTGCTAGGGGCTCATATGGGATGCCGGGGATTCAACCCAGGTCGGCTGTGTGCAAGGCAAACTCCCTGCCTGCTGTTCTTTTACTCTGGGCCCGACTCTAAGCTTGTTACAGCCATACGGGGCTCCTGCCACACTGCCAGGGAGGAGGCATCTCTCAGCCCTCACCAACTGCAGGTCAGGGTGATGCTCAGGGCTTACTCCTGGCTCTGCGCTCAGGGATCACACCTGATGATGCTCTGGGGGCCATGTGGTGTGCCAGGGATCAAATCTGGGTCAGCTGTGTGCGAGGTGCCCAGCCTGCTGTACTATCCTCAGACCCATCAAGATTGCTTTTTGAAGAGATGATTGGGGATGGAGATAAACCCCACTGGTCATCTGAAAGGTGTCACACAAAATGTGGAGATGTGAGAAAGAGAGTGAGAGAGGAGGAGGCGGGGGAGAGAAAAGGAAAGAGCTAGAAGAGGCCACACTCAGAAGTGCTCAGGGCTTACTCCTGGTTCTGTGCTCAGGGATCACGCACGCCTGGTGGCACCCGGGGAATCATAGAAGGGTGCTGGGGATCGAACCTGGGTTTGGCAGCATGCAAGGCAAACAAACAAACAAACAAACCTTTGCCTGCTGTACTATTGCTCTGACCTTGCTTTACCACATTTCTATACGATTTTTATTGCAATTTGTTTTTGGATCACAGCCAGCTGTGTGCCCAGGGCTTACTCCTGGCTCTGTGCTTAGAGATCACTTCCGGTGGGGCTCAGGGGACTCTGGGGTGCCAGGGATCCAATTCCAGTCGGTCGTGTGCAAGGCAAGAGCCTTCACCCCTGTACTATCTCCCCGGCCCCTCTCTTAAGTTTGAAATGGTAACAAAACAAAACATTACCAAGAAGAGTGGGAACTCCAGGTTGAGCCAAGAGTTTGGGAACCCTGAGGAAAGGGCACCCCCAGCCTGCCGGAGCTGCCCAGACCCAAGGAGGAAGCTGACAAGGTGTGGGGGTGCAGGCGTGCAAGCAAGGGACAAACTCAGTGACCGCTTCACAAGCGCCACCTTGCTGAATGCCCATGGTACGTGGGGGCTTTCCACACTCAGGGTCTGCCTTTGGGCCTCCTCGAGCTGGGCACCCTGGGCGCTCCCAGGGGCTCCCTCCGTGCCGACCCTCACCTCCCTGGGCTGGGCTGCTTCGGCCGAGCAGCAGAGCTCGGTGGCGCCAAGACCGAGCGTGCCTCCTTGGCCTCCCCGGCTCCCAGGAGAAGGCTTCCAAATTTCTATCACAGTTGGTTTCCAACAACATCCAAACACTCTGCCACAAGCCCAGCAGCCTCGGCCGGCCGTCCAGGACCACAGGTGCCAAGACAAAGGTTGGCGCAGGCAACGCCTTCCTGCTGCCGGGGCAGGGCAGGCCGGCTGGTGGCTCCGCAGTGTCAGTTTCACGCTCAGGAAGTGGAAAAAGGCAGCTGGGTTAGCGCTTCCTCGAGGGCCCGCGGCTTGACCCGGAGCCCTCTCCAGGATCCTTTCAGTCGCCCACTACGTTCCCTCTGCCCCAACCCACCTTCCTTCGGCATAACAGCATCTCACATTTCTGATCTCAGCCTTCCCTGAGCACCCCAGCCGAGGTTGGGGAGGGGAGCAGCCCCCTTGGGTCCCCCCCCACTCACAGCATCTTCTTGTGTGGTGGGTAGGGGGGAGTCAGGGCATGACAGAGCTGGGGTATTGGGCTAAGTCCTGACTCTGCCACTCTCTTTTTTTTTGGGGGGGTCACACCCAGCAATTTTCAGGGATTACTCCTGGCTCTGTACTCAGGAATTACTCCTGGTGGTGCTCAGGAGACCATATGGGATGCTGGGGATCGAACTCAGGTCGGCTGCATGTAAGGCAAATGCCCCCTACCCACTGCTATCGCTTTAGCCCGACTCTGCCAGTCTTGAGTTCTAGATACTTGGGCAAGTTTTTCTAGATCCCCGTGCCTCAGTTTCTCCATTTGCAGCACAGAAGCGCATCTCAGAGGGCAGCAGAGTTAGTCCCTACTTCAGTGACTGGTCAGTGCCTTCACCGTGAACCCCAGGCCCCTGCTGAGCCAGAGGGCGGGCCTGTCCCCACCGGACTCTGTAGAGCCCATGAGGATGGGCGGGGGTGCCGGGCTGAGTTCTCAGTAGGAATCGCCAAAGGGACGGACCCAGGCTACATGTTCATGTCGCGGAGAACGAGCCCCTCAACTTCTGGGTCTGTTCCCGGGTGCCACGCTGTCCTCTGCCCTGCCCGGCCTTGTTGGTTCCCTCTGGAGGATGGAGGTGCCCATAGGGCGCCCTCTCCCCGCCAGCCGCGCCCTCGCCACAGCCCCTGTGGGCTCCCCTCTCACCTTGTGTCACCACCTTGCCAAAGACAGGCAGGGAGTCGAGTGTGGAGCAGTTCCAGCGCCGGTTCCGGAACTGGTACTGGCACTCCTCGATGGCCAGCTGGGCGCCACGGCGCACGGAGTCCATCACCTCCAGGTTCCGCTTGCACAGCTGCACCTGCCGCTGGATCAGCCCCTTGAGCTTCTCACATGTCTCCTCCTCCGAGATGCTTCCCACCGACGACAGCTTGGCCAGGTAGCTGGGGAGAGGAGATCCGAGTGGAGTGCAGGGAAGGGCGGAGGGGGGAGGTGTTCCCCAAGCCCCGGGAGGAGCCTGGGACTCTGGGAACTGACCTCTCTCTGGATCTTTGCACAGCCACAAGGCAGGTAGAGCACTAAGCGGGGAGCTGAGGGGAGCCCTCTCTGCTCTGTGCCTGGCGTGACCCCCAATCCAGCCCATGGCTCTGTGTGGAGGTGCTTGAGGCTGGGAGGCCACTGCGGGACCACCGCCAGTCCGTGACCTGAGCCCGTCCGAGCTGCAAGGGCAGGATGCTCTCGGCCAGCCACGCCCAGTGTCAGATGCAGCCAGGCCCCTGGGAAGGCCAGGGTCAGGGAGCGGGGACGAGTGGGTCATGCTCTTTCCTCTCCAGTGTGAAGCTGGGGTCATGTGATGGCTTTCCCCCTGGGGGTCTCAACAATCACAGTCTGGAGGAAACCGTTCTGTCGCAGCTCCCGGACCTGTTGCCTTGTGGAACTCAGTGTGTCTGTGTCAGCGGAGGCCATGCCTGGCCGTCCAGGGGCCCAACTGTGTGCCCTCCTGTTGCAGCCTCACCCGGAATCTGGGATTTGAGAAGATGCTCACTTGATGGATTCCAAAATGAAGGGGTGGGGTGATGGGGCCATGATGTGCCAAAGTCCCCCACCCGGTCCCTGCATTTTTTGCACAGGAGCGAGACTCAACAGTGGTGGCGTGGCGGGAGGGGAATCCGGCCTCTCTCTCCAGGGAAAGGGCGCCGTGAGCTCAGCACCTTGTGCCAGGCTGGTTCAGGGGTGACACCTGCTGAGTCAGAGTCTGGTGTGCCTGGCCCCGGCTCTTGCTGTGGTCCTGGCCTATTTCTGCTCCCCCAGAGATGACAGAGCAGGACCCAGGGGCTGCCGAACGGGGCAGAAGCACCAAGCACAGAGGCCTGGAGCGACCTTTGGGTGAATCTGTCTCCTGGGGGTGCTGGGACGAGGTGGGGTGGCGGGGAGGGCCTTTCTGTGTATTTCCCTGAAGGTCAATTTTCAAAAGCAGTGAGAGAGATTTTGGTTTTTCTGAAAAGGACGTGGCAGGCCAAGTTTAGGGGGAGGTTACTGCTTGGGGCAGCTTTCTGGCTTCTTGGGGGTGCAGGGGCATGCAGAGTCACTGATGAGGAAAGTGCCCCAAAGGGGATCTGTCTAGGACCCTCACAGAGGAAAGAGCCTGCAGGGCGCTGGACAAGGGAGCGGTGTCCTTCACAGGGAGCCAGGCCTCCCTCAGGGTGACCGGTAAACGTGCGTGTGTGTGTGTGTGTGTGTGTGTGTGTGTGTGTGTGTGTGTGTATGTGTGTGGCGGGGGTCTGAGGGGAGGAGGCTGAGGCTGACTAAGGGAGCTGTCCAAACTTGTCAGAGGATTGTGGACAGACACCTTCTCTGAGACTCAGTTTCTTCATCTCTCTGCAGCATGAGCCCGTGGTGAAGATGCTGATGTGGGAGCTAGGGGGAGCCTGTGTGTGGGAGATGGTCTCCTGTGGGCCCCAGGCCACTGGGCAGGAACGAAGCCTTCATTCACTGAATGAATGAGTGAGGCAGCCAAATAGAGAAGTGCCTCGGACATTGTGTTTATCATGGGAAATCATGCAGTGGTGGCAGTTAAGAACAGCTATCTTTTATGGCACTGCATTAGGACTTGCCTGAGTACTTTAACCCTCAGTGTCATCCAACTGACCCTCATTTTATAGAGGAGAAACTGAGGCACAGACTGCTTAAGTACTTCGTTTTGTTTGCAAGTCAGAAATGTGGCAGCCTTGAACCTGGTTCTGCCCGATTTCAAAGCCTTGAGTGGAGACGATGTTCTTTTATGTGGCTCGGGAGGAGTCTCGACCCCAGTGTGCAGACGGGCAGGGAGGGGCTGGGCTGGCCCCAGGGCAGGCTGTTGCCCAGGGTGCCAACAGTGGGCTGTGATCTCCCCAGCATGGGCAGTGGGTGTGCAGTGGGATCCTCTGGGCCAGAATGAGGTACAAGCTGGGCCTGTGGACAGTGCAGTTGCTGGGACCTGTTCTGGTCAGGACTTGGTGGGCATCTGGCCTTGGAACCTACACCCGGGGAGTCAGCTAGCAGCCCACAGTGGCCTGTGGGGCACCTTAGGAGGCCGCTCTTGGTGAACCCTGGTGATGCTCCCTTCTTATTGCAGGGAGGTCTGACCAGGGGGTCATCACCCCCTCACTGTTGCCTCGGGCCTCTGGTGGTGGGGCCTGGCTGTAGGAAATGACCAAGATTGGATGGGGCTGTGGCCTCTGGCTCTCTGCTGAGCAGCCTTCAGGATGGGGAAGGTCACCAGGACCTCTCTCCTCCTGTCAGCAGAGCACAGGGCCAGGCGCGTGATTTGGGGGAAGGCACGTCCATCCCCAGCCTTGTCCTGTCCCCAGGGTCCTTGTTACTCCCTCTCCTGCAACCAGGATGTGCCCAGGAAAGGCAGGAGGATGGTGAATGTCCTGATAAGCCCAAGCCTCTCAAAAGGGAGGTGACTGAGGGTCAGCGGAAGGAGCTGGGGTCCGGCCTGAATTGAGGGGTCCCGGAGGGAGCAGGTCCCACCTGGCGCTCTTGGCCTGCAGGGGGCGCCAAGAGTCCAGCTACTGGCAGTGGGCCAGGCCCACACTCAGAGGCCGGGAGGGACAGGGCGGCCAGCCTGATGTGGGATTCTTTCCTGCCCAGATGCTAGGGACGAGCACTTGGAGAAAGGTGTGTGCCCTTCTGGGATGCGGGACACCCAGTTGACCTGTCCGTGGCACACCTGCTGGAGCCATTGGCCCCTTTGCTGAGCTGAGGCGGGTGGGTCTGTGCGGGGCCTGGCGGAGCAGCCTCGGGGCCGCCCTGTGAGCCCTGGACAAGCCCTGCCCACTCAACCCTGTCCCCTCTCAGGAAACAGGGTCATCCTGCTGCGGGCTCCTACGTGCTGGGAGACGCCTCTGGGCCCGGTGGTCCAAGCAGACACCCCCTGTACTTGGCCCTGCGGGGACCCGGCTGAAGCTGCAGGGGAAGGGACTAGAGGGGCGGGTGGCAGGGAGTGGCCGGGCTGCCAATGGCCGTGAGTCACCGGGACAGCGTCCAGGAAGAGGCTGCGAAACCTCCTCTACTGAGCGGTGCGCCTGCCCCCACGACTGGCTCCCGCGCCCACCGCCCGACTCTGCCTTCCTTCCTGGGTGCAGCAGCTGACCCCTCTCTGCCCCACCCGAGTCTGTTCCACAGGCTCCAGCCTTGCCTGAGGAGGGCTGGGTGCCAGGGTGCCCAGTGGGTGACTAGAGATAGGCCCCTGGCAGCACTGGCCCAGGCCCACCTGCTGTTTTGCTCTCTTGGACCCAGTTGGGGGTGAAGCCTTGCTCTACAGAGGCTGCAGAGGGGGCTCACTGCCTCCCAGTGCCCTGGCCCCTGGCCCCTCGCATCCTGGCACGGGGTGTACATGAGAGTGGAGGTCAGTAATGTGGCCCCAGTGACCAGGGCTCCACCCTGGCTGCTCCAGTCCCCACTCATGGGAGGGAAGAGTGGCGGCTTGGGACGGGGAGGGGACAGGCCTGCTGAGACCCCAGGGGACCTTAAGAGCCCCCTTCCTGGACCTTCTGGAAGCTCAACCTTTCCCCCAGAAACACACGCATGCCACATGCTGACCCAGGCGCTGCCGCGGGCTCAAATGTCCACGCACAGGCCTTTTCTGAGGGAGCGAGAATGGCCCGGCTGGGCCCCGAGCGTTACTGCTTTCCCCTTCAGCCTGCCTGCCTGTGCGGCCCCGGTTTGCGTTTCTTCCAGCCACAGCTGAGTCAGGCTCTGAACATCCCCACCTGCGCCCCAGCCACCAGGTCTTGAGTCCCGGCCATGCTGTCCAGCAGGCCACCCTGCTCCACTGCCTGCCGGCGAGGGCCCCGTCTCCACACAGAGGGGTGGGGCCAAGGGGTCCTCCCAGGAGCCTTCCCCACCCCACCCCACCCTGCACCCTGCCTGCGTCTGCAGCCTGCGAGGCTGGAGGGCCCTGCCAGGGAGATCAGATCCTCCCAGCCACCTGCTGTTTTCATTAGAAACTAAAATTAGCTGGGCTGGTCCCAAGCTTTTCCAGGTTTGCTTGCTTAAAAAAAAAAAACCCACAAAAAATAGATATATTAAAAGTCTGCATTACACAGGTTCCTAGAAGGAAGTCCTCACCTCTCGACTCCTTCTGGTGTCTGGGAGGAGAGGGGACGGAAAATAGCCCGAGTGCTTTGGAGGCCAGAGAGATCAGTGTCGTGGGTGCTGGCCACGCTGCCGGCCACTGCCCCCTCCCGCGGCCTCCCTGCTGGCTGGGCCACATTTAGAGCTTCCTTTGGGGTGTCAGGCTGAGACTCCGGGGAGGAGGAGGAGGAGCCGGAAGGGAAGATGGAGGGCTTCGGAGTGGGGAGCCCCCACTCCCCAGCCCAGCCCAGGCGCTACTCTTGGGCAGTGAAGTGAGGCACCTGGGCTGCACCCCACACTGTTCTCCTACCTTGGAAGGTGTCTGAGTCCCTGGCCCTCGTGGCCTGCCGCTCTCACCTGTCCCAGGACCCTGGACCCTCCCTGTGGACATCAGGGCGAGGCGTTGTGCTCCCTGCGGCAAATCAGTGGGTCCCCTGAACTCATTGTGTCTGTCTATGGAATGCGCAGAATGACAGCTCTGACCTCTGGGGCTGCCACAAAGCCACGTTCACTCAGCAGGAGGTCCTGGTGGGACCACCCTACCAAGGTGGTCACCCTCCCTCTGTCCACCCCCTTAAGGCCTGGTCTCAGGCCCTGGAGTTGGACTCCTGACCTGTTCTGTCCATTGAGCTGCTTTCACTGGGTCCCATCAGCCCCTTCCCAGCTGGCTTCTCAGACCTCTTGAGGGGGAGACCTGCTCTGGAGAGCATGGGCGGTCTCAACAGTGTCCCCTACGGCCCAGCTTTTAACCCGAGACTCTGCAGCGAGCACTGATCAGTGAAGATGTGGGCTGCGGGTTTTGACACACCCAGGGATGCTCCAA